TCTTTTTGAGAAAGGAATTTCTGCTTCTGGTCTGTAAAATTCGATTTTTAAAATTAGAAATTATCACTAGCGATAAGAATAATACAGTACTCATCAAAAAGAGTGTTTTTGTTCATGAGAGACAATTGAAATTAGATATTTTTAATTTTTCAGAAACTTCTTTCTTTACAGTTGACTAATCATTTCTGATGTCAACAAAAATATGTCATCAGCTGCTCCAATATTTTTTTTTTTTTTTAATCATCATGAGAATATTGTCTTTTAAAAATACAATATTCGCATGGTGATTAAAAATGGTGATATTCACTGTAAGTTTTTATTTTTTGACCAATTTAACAAAAGTCCTGGTTTTTAATTTTAAAAAATAAAATAAAATTATAAACTAACTAAAGGGTATCTTAAAGACAAAGTTATTAAACTGCTTCCACCATTGGGTGAGAGAAAAATTATCCTTAAGAAAAATCACTGGAGTCGTTCAAAATTTAATTTCACTTTGACATGGGCTTCTGATAAAAAACAAAAGAAAAAAAAAGACCAAAACATTGTCGGCTATGTTTGAGATTGAGTACATACCCCAGGTTCCACATTTACGATGGGAGTCAATTTCAATTTTTTTTCAGCTTTATTTTGAAGGAGGGAGAAGGAAAGAAAAAAAATTCTTGTTCTATCCAACGTTCAACTCATTTAAAAAATGTAATTATTAGTGCACGCCTTACAATATCTAATTGGCCAGATTATTATTTATCTGTCCATTAGTATCAGATATAATCTGGTCAATTAGAGACTATTTCCACCAAATATTGCAATTTCATAATTTGTAAAATAAATGCACGAATTTTTTTTTTTAACTAAGCTAATAAAGAAAAGGATGAAGTCAAAAAAACATTCGATATGCTATTCAACAATGTTTAATATTTTTGTACTACAAAGAGTGGGTCTATGTTATTGTTATATCAGAATAAATTTAAAGATGTTTTTCTTCTTCAGACTCAATTTTTTAAAATTAAATATTTTTATGAAAATAAATAATCTCTGTAGTGTAGCGAGTGTCATTCATTTCTTCTGAAAATCCCAAATAAACTGGCCAACAATAGCTCTTAGATCACATTTTTTAATTTTCATTTCAAATGTATTGTAAACTAATTAATTACAAAAAAGTGGTCAGCTTCATGATAGCTTAATTACAAACAAACTTTGGTACTTGGAAAAATTAAACAAAACACTCATTTATAAAACAAAAGGTAATTACTTAGTTAATGAAATTAAGACAGACAAAGTCACAAAAAGGGTGTGACATTTGATCACCAATGTCAGGATGGAAATTGGCATACCGCGTAATTTTAAAAATGTAATACGAAATAAAAAAAATATGTTTGACAATACTCAGTGGTAAATCACCATAAGATCATTTTAAAATTATTTTAATTTTTTTAAAATGATCTCGAGTTCAAACACTAACTTCATTTAAAAGGAAAATTTCAGACAGCTTTATCAATGAATTAAAAAAAAAAAAAAAAAAAAAAAAAAAAACCTCAATTTTCAACATATTTACCATGAAATAAATTATTTAATTTTAAATTAAATAATAACTTTAAACCAGTTAAGAAAAAAGAAAAGAATCTTTTAAAAACGAATAAAAAATTTTTTTTTAAAAAAAAAGAGAATTATCTTCATTTTTACTGTTTACATTTTATTTTTACAGTGAGTAAAAAAATGTTGGTTCAAGTAAAATTTTTACTTGAACCAACAAATATTTATTGACTGTTCCTTTCTTGTTCCTTCTGAAAGAAGCAAATTGCAACCAGCATAAATCACCCTAATAAAGAAGCGATTTTGAGCCTTATCACTTGTATCAACAAGTTTGGAACAGAAGCTTACAAAAACTACCATTTTCAGCAGTAATATAATGTGAAATTGGTTTTTAAGCCAACATTACTGAGGAAAAGATACTTTAATTTCTTTCAAGTTCAATAACTCTATTGTAGAGATTCTTCGAAAAGCTTTACGAATTGAAACTTTCAATTCTAAAAATAATGTACAATACATCAACGTGAGGCTTTTTAAAGATACTATGCTAAATTTAGAAAAACGTGTACTGTACTCACTTCACATCAATGTTGTAAAAAAATCCTTCCGGAGAGAACGAAAATAAAACCAAAGATAATCAAGAATCTAACGTTGTTATATTGAGAGATGACGCAATAACACTTTGTCTGGGAATTCGGCCCCTAAACAATAAAACTATTGTGCATGCATGTTTGTGCAACAAAAAAATACAATGGTTACAATTGAAGTAATGTTCGTGTTGTTAAATCCCTTTCAGTGCAGTTTCACTAAACCAGGCCCGTCGTCAAAGTGAGGTTAAGTCGTGGGTAAAGATTTAGTTCACATTTTTCACAGGAAAAGAAGAGCAAATGATTTTCTCGGGGTGGGGACTCCCTTTCTGGCGAAGGGCCTGTTAAACACAAATCAAAACAATGATTCAAAAGGTCGATACTACAATAATACTTTATGAAATTCCAGCAATAACGAATCAGTTAATTTTTGCAAGAACTGATTTGATACTGGGGTTTTTAAGCTAAGCTTTGTTTTAAAACACCAGTAGGGAAAGATAAAAAAAAAAAAAATCACGAGCAATGTTCTGTTAGAAGACCAAATGTCAATTTTCTAAATAAAAAAATTGATTTCTGAAAGTGATTCAGGAACTTCTTGCTAAATTCTAACTAAATTGAGCGATCGAATGACCAAAATTTACGTGCAGCACATCCAGAGAAGTTAAATTTGATAATTAGCTAAATTATCACAAGCAAAATAAGAGGGTGTCATTTGCTTGGTCTATGAACATCAGTTGATAAGCAGTATGTACAGTGCAAGGACAAAAAAAAAAAAAGTGACGATTTTCTAACTCACTGATCACTGATGAGTACTGCCTGGGAGACCTACGAGTGATCAGGTTAATTTCTTTTTATGTTTACCCACAAAACGAGAAGCAACCTACGTTTGTCGTTGAGCGATGTTAGAGATCATTAATAAATTAGTTTTTAGTTCAATTTTGTCAGTAAAGTTCACTGGTAAACGCAAAATGTTTTGGGTGAGTTTACCCAGTAACGGCAACAAACCACAAAAGAAAAATAATAAATTCAGAATAATTCAACAAAGGATCATTTTAACAACAAAACAAATCGCAATATGAAACAAAACAAAACAGAGGAAGAGAAAACAGTCCAATTATGAGAACCCTATGGGAATCACGCAGCCATAACGAGACTGAATTTTAATTTACATTTTTTTAAAGTGACATTAAAGCTGACCTATTAGTCAGAATTTTTGTAATTTTAGCTGTTTTTAACCTGAAGTGGATTTAAAACCAAATACGTTTTTTTTTACATTTTTAGTTACTCTTAAATGTTACAGCAAATTCTAACGATAAGAGGAAAAAAAAAAACAACAATCAATGAGTGTATTTTACTGTCCACTGCTTTTAAAATCCTATGCACGTATTTGTTTTTTTTGGGGGGGGGATGTTAATAGAAATACTGCACAACTAACAAGTCCTAAAAAGTTTCTTAAACTATATATCCGATCGCATGAAGATCATCACGTTGTATGAACATTCTTTGGTCTTTGTAGGATTAGAAACTTTACTACCTAATGATTGTATCGTTTCAGCAAGTGTTAAAAAAAAAGAAAAATAACCACTGCCCATTCTTAGAAAAATGGTCATATTCCTACAAACTCCCTAAATTTTTTTAAATTATCCATTTAGAAAAGGGAAGGTAGAGACTGAAATAGTTTGTAACAAAGTAAATGTTTAAATTTACAGATCCATAAGATAAGGAAGGTTCTTAATTTATTTTAAACCTATATTCCTGAGAAAAAGTTAGATTTAGAAAAAAATTTTAGGCAGCCTATTTCAAAACTATTCATAGATGTTTTTATTTAAGTTTAGCATTTAAAGAAAAAGCATTTTTAAAGTCACTTCTTGTGGCTACATCATTTCAAAGCCGTTTTAAAAGTAAATTCATGCCACAGATCAACTTTTCTTGTCCTGTTTAGGAGTTGGGCATAAAAGACGTCAAATAAAAAGACACTGAGGTGTACTTCGATTGTGGTGTAAAAATGTCAAGCTTATGTCACGTGATCAATTAAGAGTTCGATTCTCAATGTGTGCTCCACACTTTCGGCCTTGTGCCACATCTAAGCTACGCTTCAGTTATGTTACAATATGTGCCATGCATGATACACTACATGACAGATGAGGCAGAATTTATCCTGCAGTAGGTTGCCATTTCTTTCTGCGGTAGACCAGTTGCCATCCAAGCCTATAGAACTCGGTCGCTCCTGCTATTTGCCCAAAGGGTATTATTATTAGAACATAAGTGAATGTAATGGATTTAAAAAATCATAATCCTTAAAGCTGGATAGTTTCAAAATAATAATTAAACTGAAGCCCCAGGAAGTATCCCTCCTTCGGGAGTGGGCTGGGTTTTTATTGCCCGGTGCCTGAGGCGCCCCCATAAAGGGAAAGTGCTGAGTGGGCTTGGGCAATTTTTGCGTTGAAGAAACCCACTTTTTAGTTTAACATGTAAAAACTGCTGATCTTGTGTCACATTCGGTTGCGATGTGGGCTCCACTGAAAAATCTCCCATAATTGTGGTCGTGTGTCACATACGCTTTGTAAATCAGTAAATAAAAAAAAAGGACAAGGAATTTTTTAAACTAACAGTTAAATGTTCAAAAATTTCAAATTTAAAAGATGCTATTCCTTTTCCTTAATAATTTTAAAAAATGTAAATTAAATATTTTTTACAAAGTTTGAGTAGCTTTGAAAATTTGAAACGTTTTTTAAGGAAAATTTGAAATACAAGTATAGAGTAGTGAGTGAACATTAGTTATGAATTGTAACATTTGTTGATTAAATCTTGGACACCATTTTTTCACTAATAAAAGAAAAAAAAAAAAAAACAACTTCTATTAGAATTGTTTTTTTCAACACTTACGGGTTTGGCTCAGCGGTTAAGTAACGGACTGACAGCCGAGAGGTGTAAGGATCCATCCTCTGTGTCGGGCTGGTGGTACTCGTTCCGCACAGTCAGCTAAGCCAATGAAAAGTGATTTCAAATCAATCAGAGAAAAGGTAATCTATCTAAGAAAAAGTTGCGATATTCACATATTACGTACAACAGGAAGACGGGCTTGTTTCAAACTGTGTGGTTTGTTAAGTTATGGTAAATAATGTGGTAACTAACCTTTGCTTCAGTGCAATGAACAATTCGCCTCTATGAAATCACTACACTTTCTTTTAAGCCCATGCATGTCATATACTCGACCCTACTCAGATCGTATTGCTCGATTAAGCTAGCCTTGCGTGTTTGATCTTTGTCCCCCCCCTCCTCTATGACAGATTAAAAAAAGAAAACTTAATAGTACCTATTGTATTGTAGTTAAAAGAGAGAAAAAAAACGGAATAATGCTACGATTTTTTTTGTAGGTAACGTGAGGACCAGCACTCAAGTTAAACTTTTCGCATACCTACCTTTTTAATACAGGTCAAACTATTTAAATTTGACCTTATTGATATTTTTCTGTAGGCTTTTATTTTTTTACGCTAAAATAAAAAAAAAAAAAAAAAAAAAATATATAGTAAATTTGAATACGACCCTGTATGTGGCTAAAAGAACGAGCACAATTTTCTATCCACCGCACGCAATTAAAAAAAAAAAAAATAAGTGTAACCCGGATATAAGAGATTTTCTCTGGTCCCAAATTAGAGCCTGTGTTAGACGAAACCCGGATATAAGAGACTTCTCCGGTCCCGACAACTCTTATATCCGGGTTATATCCGGTTCCAAAACCAAACCTCTAAGAAAAAAAAAAAAAAAAGGGCTGAGGTGAAATAGTGGGCAAAAAGAAAAAAAGTAAAAAATTAAGCAAAACAGTTGAATCAGAATACTCGTTCATCATAACAGCGTTTTAATTTCTGGCTTTTATTTTCCGACTATAGAACTCATGTAGTACTTTAAGACACTACTTTTCTGCGATAAAGTCATTTTCACTTTGAGTTGGTAAATCTGCAGTGGCACAAGGAAATCTTAAAGACAGTAAGAATTAAAAAACTTTTTTTTTTTATATTCTCAAAAAAAAAAAAAAAATCTGAGTAGTTTGTTTGTTGGTTAACTTACTTTAAGTAACCTAACTTGTTTGATGCCATGTAGCAGCTTTTTTATGCGAAAGGAAAAAATCATTATTTAAAAAGCAATTTTTTTTTTAATTATCCAGGACTACGAAAATAAAAATATAAAATAAGTACAAGATATTAAAAAAAACAAACCTTTGCAGTTAGTTGCTTAACCAACTCCACAACTGAATGCTAATTCTTTAAATTTCCTTTTTTTGAGTTTCTAACAAACTCAAACAAAAAAGTAAATTTAAGAGTTACGTTCGTTATTTTTTTTATATACTGTATTGAAGAATTCTACTTACATAAAAAAAATACCTAACCCAAGGAAAGGAAGCAAAAAAAGGTATTTTATTTTTTTTTACTTGATGTTTTTGAACTCAATTTCTGGTAAATTTTCATTTTAACACCCGAACGTCATTAGTACGCGCTTCCGTAAAGCGATTTTTTGTACATAATTTAAGAAGAAAGTTAACCTTCCAATATATGTAAACATCGACAAATAAAAGAAAAAAAAAAAAAAAAAACCTAACCCTAATTTGAAAGTTAACTTTCTTAAAAAAATCAATTACTTTGTTATTCTTTTATTTGTCGATGTTTATTTGAAAGTTAACTTCTTAAAATAAGTAAAAAAAAAAAAATAATCGTACTAATTTCTACAAGGAATTACTGTGAAGGAAGTAAATAGGCCCAAATTGTATACGTCCACAAACAAAATTCAGCACTGAATTTTGTATCAATAAGCCGGTAATGGCTAACGAAAGACCAGGAAAAAGTCCGATTTTTTTCGGGTCGTTAACATCCAAAAAGGTAGGTTTCTTAAATATCTAATTGTTGATTTGAGTTTTTTTAGCATATTCATTTGCACGGAAATAAGACTTTTGGAAAAATTAAGCGATATTTTAGCGCTCGGGTGTTAAAAAAAATTACCCAATTTCTTTATAATTTTGATCTTAGCCTAAAAGTTTTTTTTTTTTTTTTAACGCTTCTGAATATTAAGTCAAAAAAGCAAAACGAACTGTCATGTCAGTGTTGAGTTGACTGATCTTTTTGTTAGCTGCAAAAAGGTTTCGACAATGTAATCATTTGTTTTATCGCTTAATTTACCGAAACAAATCATTGCATAATTTATAATGGCGATCAAATTTTCGTATCAAAGAATGAAGATTGTATTTCTAATTAGCGAGTACTGTAACTGTACTACTACACTACACACAAAAAAAATCGATAACCCACCTAAAGTTCTGCTTCAAGCCTCTTCCTTAAATTGCAAAAACTAGTTCAAATAATACTTTTTTTCGTGATTTTGTATTCAGTTTTTATTTTAAAAAAATATAAATCATTTATACCTGCTATGAACCAACCAGTAATAAATATTTGTTACATGTTTTAAAAAAATTGTTGGAAGTTTTTTTAAAAAATTTATTTTTATTAAAATATACTCAGAATTTTAAGCATATATTGGCGACTGAAGAAAATTTAGTATTTGGGTAAAACAAGGATTAATTTATAAACACTGGCGACAAAAGAAACTTGAATAAGAAGATTCCTTAGCAGCAAAAATGTTTAAGTTAAACTTTTTTTTTTGTAATTTATTTTTTTATCAAAAAGTTGATAATTTTTAATATTGTGGATATTTCTTTTCTTGCCAATTCTTTGAAGTATTAAGTTTTAAATCTTGATTTGTTAGATTCAAAACTTAAACATTGCATGTCGTTTGCTTGGGTTACTTTTAAAAACGTCATGCAATTTTAGACAACAAGCAGTCCCTTCCCACTGAGGTTGTTGGATGGAGCACAATCTTCATATCCAACATTTTTAGCCTTGAGTTTAATTACAGCCGAACTTGACTTCGTCTGGCACAAGTTTAGTCAAAAATAACGTCTGATAGGTGAGCTTGCTACCCAATGGCGAGTTAATATTACAAACAAAATATTTACATAATGTATCAAACGTTAAAAAAAAAAAAATATAAAAAATTTTTTTTGTCTACATAAAAATTAAATCTAAGTTTAACTTTAAATTAAAAAATAAAATTTTAATGCCCCCACCAAAAGTCAGGAAGATTGTTAAACCAATTAAAAATCCCTACTTAATACAAAAAAGCAATAATAAACTTTATTCATTATTGCGTGAGCCAATTGAAAATATTTCGGCTTTTTTCTAAATCTTACCTCAGACACCAAAAAGCAATTTTGCATTCTTTGCATACGCGTGTTGAAGTTGTTTTCTTTTCGTTTTCTCACGCAAAGTAAATATGAAGATCGTAGGTAGTTAGAAGGGCCCACTACAAGAATATTGGTGAATTATCGCACATCTATGTTGTGGAATGATGGAACAGAAATCATAATTATTCAATGATGAATCATTGAATATTTAGTTTAAAATTCAGGAATTACTGAACGACACTAAAAATGCAGAGCAACATTAGTTATTTCAATTTGTTGCTTCAATTGAAACAATTGCGGCCCAAAGCCAATGGGGAAGTGTGGTTAGGCTGGTCATGAACACTTTCTATTCTAGACCTAGCTAAATTAGATTTAGGATCCATACATTCGTTACAATTTGCTCATTCACCACAAAACTTCTTCCGTCGCCATCCAATACTACAAATTCTCCATTAATTAAAAGCAGAGCACATATGTTATGTTATGTTCATGTTCTTTATTAGGTAAACTCAAGCACGTGCAATTATTTACATAACTTAAAAACTTTCATTTACAAATGAATAAGTTAAGATACGATAGAATTTTTTCCTAATCTAATTTGCATAGATGTTTTCATAAGTTTTTCTAATGCTTCTGTAAACAGTGGAAATTAATGCAGTGAATTAATCACTCCATAGTTCAAAAGGAGGAGAGAGAGAGGAGAGAGAGAGAGAGAGAGAGAGAGAGAGAGAGAGAGAGAGAGAGAGAGAGAGAGAGAGGGGGGGGTCTCAAAAGAAAAGTCCATATACACGTATAAATACGCAGCGAATTTTAACTTTTTAAAATATGCCTAGTTAATAACAAGCCAATTTTAAAAGTGTGCAATATATTAAGTGGTTTTTGTTTTTAGCTTATTATTCATTTTTTTTTTTTTTTTGAACGTGACGAAATATTTTCCAAAGGTAAGAAAATAGTATTGTTTTAAAAAGCGTTTTTTTAAAATATAGCAGGATGCGACATCCGCTGATTTTTTTTTTTTTTTTTTTAAAAGACTTAAAAGAATAATTTTAAAAAAAAGCAAAAAACTGCTTCGATTTTATTTTTTATTCCATATTCGATAGAATTCATTTTTATAAATTTCATCAAAACTTGAAAAGTCCTTAATAATTACAGTGCACTTTTTTAGCGGCCCTAATTGTCTCGAGTTCAATAAATAAATGTCTGTATACCTTGACGTTTTAAAAATAGTCACTAAAACCTGCACTAAAAACTATAGAGCTTCTTTTGTTTCGGCATAATCACTTTGACTGAATTGAAAAACAAAAAAACTGTTGGGAAAACGTCTTTGCATTTGAGGATAATTTGGTATCGTAAATCACATTCGTTTTTTTTTTTTTTTTTTAATTTAATTACTATATCAATTCCTGACTTGGGACTTAAGAGTCTGTCGGTTTCTATACTCTTTTGTTGTTTTGTTTTTTTTTAATCTGTATTAGAATTAGAGCCGTTTGGTATTATTAGGACTCTAAATTCAGGGACCTTTTCTTTTTTTGTACCTACACACACTTAATTCTGACATGTGTGTCTTACATCTACCCAGGTAGTGTCCCTTTGCTGCTTTTTTTTTTTTTTGTACATCGATATATATTTGTACGCGTGCATAAGAGGCTATTGTTATGGTCAAGTTCAAGTATATATCGATAGGCATGTACGTACGTACAAGTATGAAAA